AGCTGCACTGCAATGCTTGCAGTTCCCAACAGTCTCCCTGTGCATACAATTTTACATCTCTGTGCCTTTACTCATGATGCTCCCTCTGCCTGGAAAGTTCCCTTCCCACACCTCATCTACCTGGTAAACACCCACCTAAACTTTCCATTCTCTGTGAAATTTTCCTGACCTCCACAGGTAGAAATGACCACTCCCTAAGCCTTTCTATGGACCCGTAAGGCAATGCCTGCACTGGACCTCAGTACTGACATATTTTATTGTTTTATTGTACATCTGCCTTCCTCTACCAGACCATGAGCTGCTTCAAAGCAGGGACTCATCTTTTTATCCCTAGCATAAATAATAAATGTTTAAGGATCCCTTCAGAAAATAACTTTCAAGTAAAGCGTAGCACAGAATACTAGCATTTTCTACTACTTAATGACATTTTGTTTTCTGGTCCTAGCCAAATCAGAATTACTTTCCAGTAGGCAGGTGAACTTCAAGAGGATTTCAACAGCTGTCCCCCCTCAATAATTTTAACTTTAACTAAGCAGAATGAACATGCAGTTCAGTCACATTGTGGTGCCTTTCAAAGGCATTAAAACAAAATTTTAAAGCCTAAATGTTTCCCGAGTACTAACTAAAAAGGGTCACTTTTGATATAACTTATTTAAGCCAGAGGTATTCAGGATGGCTGGATATCTATCTGTTGAAAAATTTATAAATTATTTTCCTCTTGTGGGAAAACACCTAAGAGTCTGCATTAGGGGGCTGTCCACATCTCTATTTTCAAGGCTGATTGCATACTTGTTAGAATACGCCATTTTGCCATTCCGTCAGCCATTTATTCAAGAGTAAGCATAAATCATGGAGACAATCTGGGCACAATAAATAGTGTCCGCTACTAATACCTGAATGTTTTTATAAGAACTAGTAATCTAGTCTGAAGATACATTTATACTCTTAAGGTCAGACATTATATTTAATCCCCATTATTTTAAATTAGGATACAATGTCAGTAATATTAGAAGAGAGATCTTTATCCACATATCTTTAGCTAGCTGTTCAAGAAAATTATATATAGAACTGTTAAATCTTTCTTATTTAACTAGTGCCAGTAATATACACAATGGTATTTTCTAGATCATCAACCATAATTTTGCTAAAAGCAGTAAAATAATAATCTTAATTTTACTCAGATATATTAATGAAAATATTAGGATATTACATTAAACTTCTATTTCAGTGATAATTTTTTCTTTTAAACTAGCAGATAAATATCTTATAGTAGTAAAGAAACCTCAGTTAGAATAAAAGCTAAAACTATGTATTATCTAATATTTAAGGTTACACAGTACATTTTAAGGTATAAGAACACTCTGGATTACAAGTCTACATAAATCTTATTAACTACCAAATTTTCTCTTTTGTTTCATCCTATCTCTACACTCCATCATTCAAATCCTTTTCAATTTCTTTGTTCCTCCTGTGATCATTGTTTCCGGGAGAAATCTGGCATAGGATCTGAAGGAAATGCCAGAGTGAAATCTCCCTTAAGATTAATTACACAGGTAAGTAATTTCCCCTTCTTGCTAAAAAATATTTTCTAAAACTTCTTAGAAAATCAGTAAGGCAAGACTGGGTGGTCATGAAAATGTAAGTTTTTGGATTTACTTAATCACTTACACAGACATTTTAAAGGCCTGATATCTTGCTTAAAGCACTTTGGAGTTCCATCTGTAGTTAGAAATAGCAAGAGAAAAACAATTCTCAAAAGTTGGACTGGGTTAAGGAAGCATAGGCATAACAAATAACGTCTGCCTCACTGTTCATTCCCCCCCACCCCAACACATACCCCCCAATTCCTATTCTTTCAGTGTCTGGGAGCTCAGTGCGGAATTCAGAATCGTCAAATGACTCCAATTTTGAAGTATAAATATATACCAAGGCATCAAGCATTTCCACATTAAACTCAAAGCAATTTGTCACCAAAACAAAGACAGTGAGTATGTGATAAGGAAACGATACAGACTCCCAGGGATCCGCCACACAGTTGGCGTTTACATCGGCATCATCGCTCGTCAGCCAACCAAGATTCAATCTAACCCAGAAAACAAGGAGTGGGATCTGTGGTTCAGAACAGAGAAGCAACAGCTATGGGATTCCGAAGAACAAACTATCAGGAAAGGCGAAACATAACTGGGTTAAGACGAGATGAAGAAAAAAGGAAAGTTCAGGAAGAAGCTCACTCAGCCTGACCTTTACTAGGGTGGGGTGATAAGGAGACCAGTTGGAAGGCAAATGTCCCCAAACTACCTATCTCCCGTTTACCCACACAGGTGACCCAGAGAGCATAAACCAAGAGTCACAACTCAAAAAAGCCATACTGGTATATGTTCCATTATTTCCATTACAGTTGGCACCCCCCACCCCCCACATCTGCAGATTCAATCAACAGCGGATCAAAAATATTTGGAAAATAAGAAAGAAAAGTTCTAGAAAATAAAAACGAATTTGCCTCGTGCTTAGCACTATGCTGAATCCACGCAAATGAAGCGATGTGTAGGCATACCCTGCTGTAGCCTCCAGCCATTTCACAGATCCTCAGTCTCTCTCCAGCACTTGCTGTTTCAGCATCATTCGCCTTGCATCTTGTCATTGTTTCCTAAACAATACAGTTCTGCGTAACAACTACTTACACAGCATTTACATTGTACTAGGTAACGTAAGTAATCTAGAGATGATTTAAGGCATACAGGAAGGTGTGCGTAGTTATATGCAGATAGTATGCCATTTTATATAAGGGACTTGAGCATACTCAGATACCCAGGGACGACTGTATGTCTCAATTAAATGTCTGCTTTTGTAGATCTATCAACCTTTTCACCAGTATTTCTTTGATTTACCAGAACTGACAACATAACTCCACAATGTCTACCAAAGAGTAGAGAATTAATATTAAGTCTGTTGACCGTAAGGCATCACCACATATTTAGGTGTGAAAAATGTACATATAAATACACACTTGTAATGAATATATATACACATATTCACAAGCACACACACATTTTAGTTTGTAAACATAATCCAAGTCTCTTAGTACAGTGAGGAAAATAAACATTTTCCCTTCCCATTCTCTATTAAGTCCATAAATGGGGATAAATGAAAGATAACAAGATTCCGAAAAATGTGAAGGATGTAGGTTGGAAACAGACCAAACGTTTTCTATTAATAACGATAATAGCTAACATTAATTGTGTATTCATTTGTGTAGGACATACATGCTTTTAATCCTCCCGGTCTCATTAGAGACAGTCAGAGTACCATGCCCACTACGGTAACTTAAGCTCTAACACACAGCAGCTAGCTCAATCTGCCCCCATGCCAAATATGCTTCCTGCAGACTCAAAACAAAGCACCCATCTAAATTCATGGTCCTTTTGAAATTCCTAAAACTTGGTCTATATTCAGCTTCTCTCCATTTCTGCCAAAATAGAAACCATTCCCTTTTTTTCTTTCTCCAGATACTTTCTAGCTACAACTGACAGTGTTTTTGTTTTTGTTTCTTCCCCATAGTGAATTCTTGAACCACCTGTTTTGGGGATGGTGAGGCAGGAAAACCACTCCAACTCAGGGCAACTCTCTATTATATTTTATAACATTTTAGGATTTCTGAACCATTTGATATTTATTACTTTTTTTCCTGAACCCCCACATTTTTTATTTTAAATCTTTTCTTTGAATCTATATCATTTCGACAGAAGACCGCAGTTAGTACCTCAAGTGTCAATGCAGCTCCTCAATGTAAAGAAGGAGACTGAAAACTAGAATGTGCTCCTGGCTTCACTTTGTGACCTAGATCTATAACTTAATAAAGGTAATAATTAAAACACACACAACAACAACAACAGCTGAAAAACAGACTGAAAATAACCAAATAAAATTCATTTTACTTATACTGCTTTTTATTCAAATTGTCATTAAAAATATGTTCACAGTGAAACCATGCTTATTCTCTTAGTGAAGAAATATAGGCTGGGGTAGCAAAAGGAAGGAGCAACTTGGAAGAGATGGCATCTTGGTTTACAGAAGCAGACCATGCTTTTGGTAAAGTGGTAGCACTGTTTGAACTTCACTATAAGACTGTTCTGACATCAAAAATAGTAGCAGAAAAATAAGTCTTATTTAAAATAGGCTGATCCTTCCCCCCATGGTTAATACACTGTAGAAACACACTGATTTTAGGCATTATCAAACTAAAGCTCCCATATTTTGCAGACTATTTATTATATATTCGCTCAGCTGTTTTCCTGCTGGTAACCTGAATTCCTGTCTTAAAAACTGTGCCAACTCCTCTTGGGTGTTCTGGTGAGGAAAATGACTTTCCTTAAGTTTTAGCCAAGATTTTTTCACTGTAGTATCTTATGAAAAAGCCACAATGTTAAGGAAGACCGCAATGACCAGGCAGGGGAAAAATTTTAGAGAACTATTTTGATGTTTAAAATCATAGGGAAAAAAGCATATTAAAATAATATGCTAATTAGTTTTTAAAGTATTTTCTGATTCCATATACTAAGTTAACTGAATACTGGATTATGTTTATTTAAAATACATCCCACTAAGTGTAGTAGTGATTTTAAAATAAAATCAATCAAACCAAGGAAGGACCAGCACATATAACGACAAATTCAGGGAAAGGTACCTGAAAAGGACAGACAAGGATCTTGCTAGAGGAGAAAGTTAGGACAGTTCTAAAATACTTCTTGACCCAAGGATTCCGGGTTATGTGAAGCAGATACTGTATTGCTCTCTTACCTGAACATACCTGAAAGCCACTGACCTTAAAAGAAAAGACAGGTCAGTTATGTAATCACGAACCATAGAACATCCATTGTTGCAAGTTCACAGTGCTAATCCATCAATATATACTATTTTAGAAGGTCTTTTAAAATGTGACAATACTGCGATCCAGGAAAAAGTGGCAATGCCATAACCAAGCTGAAGAGTGACAAACTGACCTGGTTGATGGAGTTGGCGGCACAGGATGCAAGGCCCGTTCCAACGAGAGTGAGCAGAAAGCAGGGCAAGTCGAAAGGTCCCGGAGCCAAGGCAAATCCAGCTGACGTGGTACTTACCACCAGAGCTGCAACACAGACAGAGCCGATGCATCATTACCAGCACGTGCTCTGGACTGCAAGGGCCACAGAGACACAAACTACAGCCCAATCATCTCAAATGTGTTTTTCTAATTAGAAAAATTATGTGTTCATTACAAAAAAATGTTAATTTTCCTTTAACTCCATTATACTCAAGAATAAAAGAAAAAGTGGATATTCTGGATTCAATCATTCACTTATTTAGCAAACATTTACTGAATATCATGATCAGTACTGTGCTAGGTTCTAGGGATTGTAAGGGACAGAGACGTATGTGGTCTTATTCCTGCTCTTGGAGACCTCATGTGAAAGGGAGATGACAGACATACATTAACGACTACAACGTAAGGTAGCAAATAAGCAGGGTCTCAATCGTGGGATGAGCTCCAGACAACTGAGTGGAGAGCTACAACAACAGACGGATGGTCCTGGGGGCCAGAGGACGATGAGATGACTAAAGCGAGATGATAATCCTATTGCCACCCACAGGGACAAACAGACGAGGCAAGATGCAGAAGCAAGCGCGTGCAATTCAAACACCTACTAAGGCTGCTCCTTTTCTGTAGGTCCCGGTGCTTCCCTCGTGGAGGTTTACAGGAGCTGACAGGGCCACAGAGTGTCTAAGAGTGGTATGGACACAGGACTATAGAAATTCACTGGAAAAAGGATCACTCACTGGTGGGCTGATCTGAGACGGCTTCAAGAAGACGGCATTTAAATTAGACCTTCAGGAGGAGATGTAGGAGAAGGAAGAGAAGGGTGGTGTGGGCAACATTATAGGTAGATGGATAATTCCAAGAACAGGCAGAGGTAAAGAGGGCCAATGTCATGGTTTACAGGGGCAGAGTGTTTTTCAGAGACAATTTAAGAGGCTACACCAGTAATCCCCTGTGAATAATGATAGTCAAAGTGGGAACTGAATAGATACAAGGGATATTTTGATTGGAAAATTGTTAGGACTTGGTAATGTGAAAGGTAGGAAAACAAAATAAAACAAAAACAAGAAAAAATGAAAGGTACAGAGTGCTGCACCTGGGTAACACGGAGAATTAATTATAACATTAACAGAAGTAAGAAAATCAGGGGAAGAGGTGATGGAGCTAGCTGGTTTCAGGAAAATGGTGCTCTTGAGGAATCATGGAACATTCAGGTAGAAATATACAGTAAGAGGATGAGATGTGAAACTAGAGCTCAGGAGAGAGGCTGGGCTCAACACGAAGCCGTGGGAGCCATCTGCTGAGGCCACGCCTGTGCCTCAGGGAATGGATGAGATCACCAAAGGGACAGCAAGGGCGGTGGAAAAGATGGATATGAAAAAGGTCAGAACTTTACAAACGGGAGAAAAGGAAACAGTGAAAGATACAGAAAAAGAATATTTGGAGACAAGAATCAGGAGGATGTGGCATCAAATAAACATGTGAAGGAACATAGGAAGCAGGACGGGAAGACATCACTATTGACATCAATATGCGAATGCTAGAGAAACTGATAGTTCCACCTAATGGTCACGAATTGGTCGGCATATCCTTCAGTCTAGACTTATCAGACTTAAAAAAAGTCTTCGTAGTTCTATCATATGGATAATCTCCTTCTCTAATGTCTAGGCCAGACACAGGTTTCTTGATATTTCTATATTTCTTCTTCTGGGTTCAACAGTAATTTGCAAGGTGACTTAAGTGCATGTGCAGAGGCTGCCATCTTGAATTAGAAGTCTCTAGAGAGCATGTACTTTGGGCAAAAGGTCCTTTCCTTAACTCAGTGGTTCCCAAATTTGGTGTGCATCCAAATATCCTGGGGGAAGATTTACCTCCAGAAAAGAGGAGACAGGTTTAAGTAGAGAGAAGGAGGGCAAGGTTCAGGAATGAGGTTCAGATAGAGATGACGAGAAGACAAGGAGAAGATTAGGAGCTGAAGGCAAACAGGAGACTGCTGAGAAGTCAGAGACAGGAGCACATCCAGCAGAAAAGCAGGATGGTTTAAGCAAGGAGCGCTTCTAGGCCAGGAAGCATGCCCTGTCCCCTCTTACTGCCTCTGCTTCGGGGCCACAGGCAGCCCTGGCCCAGATAGGGTACAAGTCATAACACAATCTCACAGAAGGTGCATAACAGCAGCAAACAACCACACGGGGCAGGGGCAGCAATCAAAAATAGAATCACTTTTTCAAAGAAAACATTCTGAAAGAAATTTTTAGCTCTCTAATTCTGCAACAGCTTATGCCCAGAAGAAAACACCACGGTGATTCCATGCTTCGAAAACAGTAGTTGCAGGTATATATAAAAGAACATTTTACCCAACAGGGTAAAATACAACAGGGAAAGAACAACCTTTCATATAATAGTCCTTTTAGCCATACCTGCACACATTTAGTGACCATCAACGAAAACACCATTTTTAGAGCAAACAACAAAGCCCCTTTTATGATACTCAAATAGCATCCTTCTTTGAGGAGAGTTTCCTTCTTTACAGATATCACACCATAAATCATGAAACCCTGTGGATGGGCTGGTAAGTGTTATAGAACGAGAGTCATCTTGTTTTGCACAGCTCAACAGCTCTCCAGATGGGTTAGGAGATTCCTCACAGATTCCACAGTGTGTCAGTGACAAGCCAGGACTGGAAACAAATATCCTTAACACCCAGGCTACTTCTCAGTTCCACCAGAAAAATTCTACCACCCAAGAAGCAAGGTCGATGGTATCAGTGGGAGAATCTGAAGTGAAAGGGGACTATAGGTTTTTCCTTCTCAAAATGAAACTATGTAAATTGCTTCTATCCATAGAGTATATCAGTCAAAACAATTATTGACTAAACTGTAAGGCCTTGATTCTTAAACCAAAAGTAGACTGCACACAAACAACAGTTGTAGTTAGAAGAGCACATAAAATCCATTAGAGCTTTCTCAATACATAATAAGTAAAATCTAGAGTCTCTAAAATAAAGAACTACTATAGATATCTATAAATTAAACATCCAGACCAACATTCCATATTGTACTTTATAGACCAAAAAAAAAAAAAGAAAATCAATTACCACCATAGTGGACAAGACAGCACCATAACTATTGAACTCTCAAAATAAAAATGCTCTAAAAAGAAAAGTCACTTTGAAAAGGGTATGCAGTTACATGAAAGCAAAATTGTTAAGTATTCTGCCAGCTAAAGTCTAATTCAGAGGAGGAAGTATCTTGTTTTTCTTTTTATTCACCCCAGAGGTTAATCAGGTGATGAGCAATACAGAAAGCACATCCGTTTCTGACCGATGGGTCTGGTCTACTGGTAAACTGAGAAGACACAGATAGTGATTTGCAAAACACTGACAAAGGAAAAAGGACAATGTTTTAGGAAGACATAACAATGACTGAATCTGCAAAATGGAAATTTTGCCTAATTTAAAGATGCATAGACTGTAAGTGGTAATATATATAAACTATTACTTATTATTAGTTACTATTATAAAGGAGAAAACTTGAATTTTTATAACGCATTTCTAAAAAAGCTCAAAAGCTGACAAAGAATGTATTTATATGTACTTCATCGAAGCAATTAATTTAAAGAAAGAGAAAGGCAGAGAGGATTGATAAATTGTACAAGTAAAATTGACCAAAGCAATATTCTCATACAACACTGCCACGACTGTAATTAAGCTTTTCATTGATTTCCTGGGATTCATTACATGGAATCATTTTGCAACACCAGAATCTCATTAAAAGTGAATGTAATATATTCTTTCATTAATAACACTTGAAATTATATTTTATTTGGTAATCTCGTATTCTGTCCCTTCACAAATAAACATAAAATCAATGCTGCCAATGAAGCATGACTTATCCAATATGGGCCCAGAGGCGTTGCACTGCAGGCCCAGTGATGACTCTGGGGACTCAAGGAAGAGTAATTCCCACCCTACTGGATAGAACCTGGCCCATTCCCCACTCCTCAGTGGTGGCCAGCTAGCCAGAAAAATCCCAAGCTTCCCCATGAACAGAGATTCAGTAGCAGCCCTCACTATGACAATCCCGACTACTGGTCCAACCTTAGCACACATGCATCCCCATCAGTCAATCTCTTCTGCCTCATAAAGGCCTGACCTAAGAATGATCAGGCCACCTTCTTCCATGTCCCATCATAAACAGGATTCACCAAACACGGTCTCTTGTCTGACTGCCTTCTCCAGGGAGAAGTTCTTACTTACGTTCTCTATGATTTTAATAACATTTTTATTTTGAAAAAATCACAAACAGAATACAAAGAACTCTGTTTATCTTGAACTCTTTGAAAATAAATTGCCAACCTATCGCCCACAAATATGTTGGTGTGAATTTCCTACAAACAAGGACGTTCTCCTACATAATCATAATGCAACCATCAGATCTGGAAATTAACATGGCTGTCTTACTATCATCTAATTGACAGCCTCCATTTAAGTTTAACCGTATGTCCAATGTCCTTTGTAACTACAGGATTTAGTTTGGAATCACACCTTACGTTTAGTTGTTGTGTCCCTTTAGTCCCCGTCAGTGTGGAAGAGTTCCCCAGTCTTGCCTTACCTTTCATGATTTCAACACTTTTGAAAATTACAAAACAGTTATTTTGGAGCCCTGGTGGCATACTGGTTAAGAGCTCGGCTGCTAACCAAAAGGTCCACAGCTCTAATCTACGAAAGTGCTCCTTGGAAACCCCATAGGGCAGTTCTACTCTGCCCTATAAGATCGCTATGATTTTGAATAGACTCAATGGTAACGGGTTTAGTTTTTTTGGTTTTATTTTGAAGAGTGTCATACAATATTCATCTTTGGCAGGAATATCACAGGAGTAATGTAAGCCCTTCTCACTGCATCATATCAGGTGGCACGTAACTTTAATTTGACCCACTCCTGATGACGATCACTTTGGTCACTTGATTAAGATGGTATCTGCCAGCTTCCTCACTGTAAAGGTGCTCTTTTTCCTTTTGTTATTAACATTTCATAAGTAAGCACTTTGAAACC